TAATAATAATAATAATAAAAAAAGCATTAGTGGCACAAAATAACAGGCACTACAATTATTACATGAAATCTTTTGTTCATTGATGCTTTAGTCATTGGGCCCAATGGCGCAGAAGTTGCCAGGTAAGAACCTCTGGCAACTTGAGCTCCAGTCTGAATGGCCCGTCTGGTTCCCTGTTAGCCTCCCTGGGCAGGAAGGGTTGGCTGCAACTTAGTGAGAGGGCTCCAAGTTCATCCCTAGAGGAACATTGGCTTTAGAACAAGACGAAGTGAGTGACTTTCTTTAAAGGCAGAGCTTAAAATATCCCATTTTTAAATTTTGTGTTTATCATTATAAATATATGCTTTTACCCAATGACTTTAAAAAAAAAAAAAAAAAAGAGATTTAATATATGGAGTAAGTCATATCTTCCTGAGTGGAATATGGATGGCCTCCATTGTGAAGGATTAGGAGTTCATTATTGGGAAAACCAAACTGGTTTCTTATTTTGGGGCATTTTTGTTATGTATTCTGAACACCTGAAGCTTAATAAGCACAGTAGGTTTTCCATAACTCTGTTCCACTGATAGGTAGTAGTCATATACAAGGAAACTGAATCTTAAAAATCATACAGGGAAAACACATCATCCTATACTTCTTTTAGCCACCCAATGATTTAAAATTGGACTGTTTGAACAAAGCAAGTGGGATTTACCTTTCACATTGTTTACAGTGCACAAGTACCTGTTTATAGCTGATAGCCCAAGATCTAATTCGGAGTACTCGATCTCTTATAAAGTTTTTGGTTTTATAGTTGTATAGCAAGCCTGTAACTCCCTCCTCCTTCTCAGCTTCCCATGGAGTTCAGTATCTGTTTATCTGCTCTCCTTGAGGGCTGTGTGTTTCACTTCTAAAGGTGACAGTGATCTCGGCATATGTTTTTTATCCTTGTAATTCTTTGGCATCTTCTATATTTACCTCTTAATAATACTGGTTTATGTGTGATTCCACATAAGTAAAAGCAGATTACAACAGAATCTCACTGGAAGAAGACATAAAATACACTGTGCACAGCAAATGTGAAATAAAAGCCAACTTGTCCAAGCAATTTTTAGGTTTAAAATTAGCGTTTTCCTAATAGTTTTTTAAAATATTTATCTTATTTTGCATATATTAATATATTTCTGAAAGCTTGTTTTTCATGTACACACACACACACCCACACCCCCCCCCAATAAAAAGTGGCAATACAAATACCGTTTGAGTAAAATTCTGTGTTTTTTCCAAATAAGGTTAGATTTTTTTTCTGGTTGAGATGTTTTGGGATCTCTGCCAAAAGATTCTTACCTCAGCTTGGTGTCTAGTTTTTCCTTTCCTTTCTTTGCAGTCTCTATAAACTGTGATGCCAGGATTATGAAACATGTTCTGAAGATATATGCAGACACTGAAGTAGTATCTGTGTTAAAGGCAAGTAAGCAACAGACATTTTTACTCCTTGTCTGACATTTACACATGGCTTTGTTGTCTCTCTTCAGACTGTCGCATCAGATGTGCTGTTCTCTTATAATCTTTTTGCCATTTCTGGTTCAAGAGTAGTTTATATTCTGTTCTAACAAGCTGTTTGTAAAGTACCTGTTAGTTTTACATGGTCAAATATGGTACAAATATTTTATACGTTTGAATTAGTTGTGATTTCTTTTGCATTTTTCATTAAACTCAATTTTTACCTTTTCTGAAGTGAACAAAATACCCCTAACTCCCTTTTTCTGCAGAAGAAATGGCACATTTAGGCAGTGTGCTGTTATTTTAGTAGATGTTCAGATATTCATATGGTGCTCACACGTACATGTTTACAAAATATGTAGCCACGTATGCAGAGACAAGAAGAGAGGTCAGAAATGAGTGCCCTTATAACACCATTCAGTGATGCTCTTACTTTTTATACATTGCCTAGGATGAAGATGATAAGCTGTGGTTCTGAGACTGGTTGGGGTCTTGCAGTCTGGCCCCGTGGTTTGCTTTCTGGTATTACAGGTGAGATGCATGGGTTGCCTGAGCTGTATTTTACTGATGGATCCTCAAGAGGCTAGAGGTTGTTATGCTGCTTTGGACCTCTTGAGACCTCTAAGATGGTCCTCTCTTGAGGACTCTGAGGAGCCCTAAGGCACGAGCGGCTGATGCAACTTGGCAGAAGGACTCTTCCCCCATCGGTTAGTGGACATGCCTCCTTGTATGTAACGAGTACCTGTGTGCGTGCCTCTATTTTGCATCCATTGTATAAAGTCTCCTCCTGCATAGCCAAAAGAGAGGGATCTGCCTATGGCTTGTGAACCGGGTTAGAAGAGTGTCAGTTGTTCCTTGCTTGGCAAGGAGAGTGCTTCTGTTCACAGGATTAATTTTATGACATGTCAGTTTATGACATCTATAAGTGAATCTATAAGTTTATGGCATCCAGTTTATGAAATCTATAAAAAGTCTCATAATGAAAAGAAAGTACTAGAGAAATTTTCCAGTTTGTATAGACAAATGGTAGGGAGTTTATTGAATATGAGTAGCCCCCAATTTGACTAAAAGCCAGAGAAAAGCCATAGGAAAAATTAATTTAATTCTTTTTGATGGCATGGGCTGCACTGTCTTGGAGCATTTGTGCTGAAGTTTTTGGCTGTTTAGGCCTCCGATGGTGAAATCTAAAGCCAGATTTTGTTTGGCACCAAACAGTTTTCACTGGTGGTGTGTGTTGTGCAATTTGGTATACTACTTATATAAAAACTTAGCATTATTTATATATATTATTATATATAAAATGCTTAGCATTAATAGCTAAATTTGCTGAAGCCTTAGGCTGCAAACTGTGACCCTTCACCTAGATATGTTGAAGCTATGTTCATCAACAGAAGCTGCAGTCTTAGAGATAAGAAAAGAAATGGCCCGCCTAGTGACAATGAAAGGACCCTGGGAAGAACGGGAAGACCCCAGACCCTAATATTACTACTGGTCCAAACTGTTGCATCGTGGGTGGGGAATTTAGATTGTAAGGATATAATTGCCCAGGGATGTCTTTGTTTGAAGTCCCTCTTTGGAGGCACCCAGTTCGAGCTGTAGCGCTATTAATAAAAAGGACTTTATAGAAGAATCTCTTTTTGGCTTATTGATACAGCGGAAACCTGGAGTCGAACGCTGTTACGGTGGCTGGCGTGTGTAATTTCCATAACGTGTGTCTGCAAGCTCTGCAAACCGCCGTCATTCATGTGCAGCTCTCAAGGGCAGTGCATGTTGTCTGTGGAGGTGGGGCGTTGTTCCTACAAACTCACTGGAAAACCTGATTACTTGGCCAGCTCTACCAATAGATGTCTTGGTCAGGAGCCTAACCTGACAGAAATACCCTCTGGGATAACTAAAGCAGTCATTGATATTTAGCGTGATTCTATTGGAGAATACTTTCAGATTGATATTTTGGCTGTCATCATTAAGTCTTTAGCCTTTTTTTCCCAAAAACTTTTATTACATTTAGTTCTAAGAGCATTTTTGATACAGCAAATGGTGCTTAAATCTTTATGGGAAAGTGAGGGATGACTTCTTCTGAGTTCCCCAGCTTGGGCTTTGCTCCCGATCAAGTGGTGTTTTCCAGCACCGGGGGGTGAGTGGGGACCTTCACAGAGCAGTTGTGATTCCTACGGTGAAGAGTTTGACCTGCTGCTCCTTTCTCCTCATAAAGGCTCAGCTGTTAACAACCACCATGGCTGCTACTGGTTTGGGGAATGTGTTTTATATTTCACTGAGCTGATGGGGAAAACCATTTTATCCATGCCAAAAGGAAGACCTGCTGGCTGGTATTCTGAGACTGGAAGCTTACCTCTTGCCTGTCAAACCTCTCAATGGGTGACACAACTTGTCAAAATAGGTGATGAATGACCAGATGGTAGAGCATTCTTGATTGCTTCCCTTGAAACAGCATAGTCTGTAAACTTGTCTCCTTTACTTGCTGGTCTCTTTGCTGCTGTGAAACGTGTCTGCAGGGTCATGGGCCAAGGCAGTGGTGGGCTGCGGTATGAGCGTGGTTTAGGAGTGCAGGAACCCTTCTCCTTCCAGGTAGGAAAATGTAACTCTAGCAATTGCCCCAAATAGTACAGCTAATATACAGTGGTGCTGTGAAAGGAAGGAAAGCCGAGCCTGGAGTCAGGCTTTGGCTCCAAATCAGAGTATATGGCGAGACATCATACAGTTGAGGGGTGTGACTCATGTATTTCATGTTCACTGCTGGAGCATCTATGCTTTGCTATAAAGGAAGCTGATATCCAAATGTAAACCAAAGGGGAAATTAGCTGAGTTAATTAGTAACTTTTAAGATGCGAACAATCAAGGTACACTGAGTAAAAGCAAAAATTAATTATGCTAATTCTGTTTTCTGTGCTTTGTTCATAATAAAGCAAGTTTGCACTTTGCCTGATTTCACTGACCGAATTGTTGCCTGCAGAGAGCTACAATAAGCTCTGCTAATGTCTGCACCGTTACTGCGTGCAGGATAGGGTTACAACATTTTTTTTCCCACATGCCTTCAAAATACAAGTTGCTTCAACTTCTATTTTTAACTCTAAGTGAAACAAGATTAAACGTGAAGCAATGGTCTGCGGCAGCAAGTAGTTTTCCCAGAATGACTGTAGAAACGTGATAAACACAGTGCTCATTTATTTTATTGTAAGAGAATGGAGGAACAGAAAATCCCTGACAACGTGGTCTCTTAAGGCAATGACAGGTCATGTCACCAATTCTAGGACTGTCACCGTGTTTGTCTGTCTCTCTCTTCCTGCTTTTACTCCCTCCCTTGATTTTTTTTGTATTTACCATCTGGTATTTATTCTGCCCTATCTGGGTTTCTCTCCGCCTTTTATTTTCCTCTGTGTCTTTAGCAATACTGCATTAAATGGCTTCCATCTGTTGAGAGTTCTTATTTCTGAATCCAGCTCCTTCAGGAGGACTGAAGAAGAAACCATTTTAGACTGAACAACGTAACCTGTGAAGGTTTAGACGTTCTCCAAGAAAACAACTTGCTTCTGCTGACGCATGGTTCAGGGAGCACATGTGTATGCACATTTGTTTTGAAAAAGGTTGAACAAGTTAAACTTGTCTGTAATATGGCTGCATGTTTAAGAACTACTGGAAATGTGACATATTTCTTTGTCTCCACCCCAAGTGGCATATGCTAAACCATAGCAAGGAATTTGACTCAAGTGGGGAGAAAACTGATAGCAAAGCTTCGGATAGCAAAGCTATGGGGACAGCCTTTTTAGCAAGGCCTGTTGTGACGGGACAAGAAGTAATGGTTTTAAACTAAAGGAGGGTAGATTTAGACTGGATATAAGGAAGAAATTTTTTACAATGAAGGTCGTCAAGCACTGGAACAGGTTGCCCAGAGAGGTAGGGAGGCCCCATCCCTGGCAACATTCCAGGTCAGGTTGGATGGGGCTCTGAGCAACCTGATCTGGTTAAAGCTGTCCCTGCTCACTGCAGGGGGCTTGGACTAGATGACCTCTAAAGGTCCCTTCCAACCCAAAGCATTCTATGATTCTGTGATTTTTTTTTTTTTTTTTTTGCTGTAATTCAGTTGAGTACAGGTCAGGATGGGCAATTTATATTTATATTTTTAATTTTAATAGATTTATATTTTTAATCCTATTTGACCCTTGTAGTTGCAAGTATATCTGCTGTTAATAGACCATTTCCTTATTTTTTTGGTTCCCTGCTTTATCTCCCTCTAGCCTGTCCAACGCCTGTCTGTGCTCTCTGAGAAGTGCTTTCCATTGCCTTTTTTCTTGTACATTTCTTCCTCTTTCTATTTTAAATCATTTAAGTAGTTTGGAAACTATTATTCAGGAAGGGGATGGAACTTCTTTTTTTATGTTTGTTGCTTAAAATCCAAGCTTTTAGTATCTATTTGTAATCTGAGTATGCAGGCATCGTTTGGAGATCTAGCTATGGCTAATGTTACTAGTGGGTGGGCTTGTTCTGCGTTTGTTTTTTGTTTTGGTTTTTTTTTTTTCATTTATTCTTGTTCTGTAAGTGGTATAAAACCTAGACAGAGTCTGTAAGTAGGTCCAGACAGAGTAATCCCAATGATTCTCAATTTTCCTTCAGCTAAAGAAGTTTTTTAGGATGGGGCTGGGGTGGGGGAGCCACTTTTTTGAGCTGTGCACTGCAGATTTGCAGGAAGTATGACCTGACCACAGGAGCATGGCTCAGGTTGTGGTTCATCTGGTGGCTGCCTATTTTAATCAACCTTTTATCCTCCTTTGTCATCAAATGAGTCTCCATACCGCAAAAAAATGACACATCCTGCAAATAAATTTAGGAAGTCGTGTTTTATGGAATTATGAGTTCAAACTGGTCATTTCTAGCAGACACACAGACTAATGGCAGAGGCAGGCTGGAGAAAAAAATGTTGTGGTCACTTCAGATGCTTTTAAAAACTAATGC